TGACTAAAGTCCCAATTAAAACTAAGATTGCATAGGTTTCCAAGTGGTTCTGGACTTGGGTGTCTTGAGTAGTGTGATTTCTGCAGCTCTGGAAAAGAGTTAAATCTTTAAGTTACCAGTGTAACCTTCTTGGCAAACTGCATCTATTTTTGTGCTGAGTGTACAAGTTGGTTTGGATCTTATTCTGAGTATCTAGCTAACAAGCTTAAAGACTAGACACGCAATCCTGTACAGGGCTGCTTTTTTTGTTGCTGTTTCTTCCTCGTAAGCAGAGAAAGGAACAGAAGACCAAACAACCAGGGGTTCTTCCTGAGTTGGGCTAGTATAATCTCTATACATTTTATAATGGCACGGAATGATAGACTTCTGTCCTCATCTGCCGCCTCCTGTTGAATGTCATGTGGTGTATTATGGTGCTCTACTGTGAACTCTAGCCAGGTCACCTGCAGGGGATTTGCTTCCCAAACTAGTACAAGATCTACAACACTTCAGATTTTCCTCTTATGTTAATTTTGTAAGCAAATTTACAAATTCAGGACTTCTCTATGGAGTCCTGATGATAATGGAGGAGAGCCTAGAAGAAAATGTCACCATTCAATCTAAGTTCTTGGTACAGTGTTTCTTGCTCGGCAATATGAAAGTTTAAGGTCTTCTCTTTTCTCCCTCTCTGTTCTCTCTCTCATATCATTGTTCCTATTCTTAGGATTTTTTTCTCCTATTTTTTAGCCCCTTCTGCAGTCACAAACCCATCCTCTAGAAAAGAAGCACGGAAGTCTTTTTGAACAATGGTGTACTGGGTTAGCTACGGCTATCCTGTCACATGTATGAGTGGCCAGCCTGTTTCTGGCCCTTAAAGGACAAGCCAACCTGCTGCTGGTTTGGGTTTTTTTCTTTTCTTTCAGTCCTACACTGGTTGTGCCAATGTGAACATTTTTCCTTATAGGTAATCTCATACTTTCACCAGAAGACTTAGTAGAACACTGGTAACACTCTGTCAGAGTTAGGTTTTTTGGCTTCTAGCACGCTGGTAGTTCACTGTTAAGCGCATTCCTTACCTTATTTTGCTGAAATGTGGCGTGTAGGTGTAAACTCAGCTTTAAACAATTCTGTATGAAGTGTAAGAGAATGGCAGCTGCTGTTAGATGCGTATTCTAAAATCTTTCAAAATGTGTCAAGCGAACTCTTAAGCAATCCGGAATAATAGGCTACCTACAGTGACGTGTTTCTGGAGATCCTGGCACTGTCTCATGCTCATGGTGAGGTGTGCTGCCAAGTGGAAAAGTGAAATAAATGAGCAAGAAATACAAGAGTAAGGAGGTGGCTTCTCTCTGGTGTTGCAGTAGTTTGGGGTGGGGATGAGGGTGCATTCTGTATCGTAACTGCTAATTGAGCCTGGGTTTTGCTTAATTTTAACATCTGATCTTAGTGCTAAATGTTTTCTATGGCTGAATTTAGGCCTTTTGTTCCTCCCCTCTACTTAAATCTAGAAATGAATTCTCCGTGTAGCGATTGTAACTAATGCTATTGCAGACCAGAGCAATTTTAAAATCTAAGTCTGAAATTAGGTAGGTTTCATTTCAGGGTCAGCTTATATACAACTGGTGTTTATGGTACATTCTGCTGGGGCTTATAGAACAAAGTTTTTCTAGATTTCACAGTGTATTTGACATGCTAACCTTTCAGAAAGATGGGGATTGTCAGAAAAGTACAGCGATGCTAGCCACCACTACAAGCAAGACACTATAATTCAGTTCTAAGAATTATCTAATGATCTACTGTAGTTCAGTTGTTTGCTCTGTACATACTCCTGCAGCTTTGCCACTTTGGACCTTGACCAAATGCAGAAGTTAGAAATCTTTTCTGTTCAAGTTCTTGCTACTCCCTTCAAAGACTAGGATCAATCTTTCTAAAGGAGAGATTTAAGAGACCTACAGGTAAAACTGAATGAAAACTCTGGCAACAAAGTTAAGTCAGTTATCACAGCCTTATTGTGTACATTATTCTGAACAGTAAATACTGTAATGTGTTAAACTTGCAAATAAAGGCTTTGGGATTTTTAATACATCTTGTAATTGTCTAACTTGCAGACAGGAGTTGGGCATTCCAGGACTTGTTGGGTGGATACAGAATTGTGCTGGAAACATGCAGTAAGCTACTCAGGGACAAACTTTTAATCTTTGTGTGTAGGGATTTGAGCTTTTCCTGTTTAACCCTTTCAAGAGCAGCAATTCCTGGAGCCACTTTCACTAAAATGGGCTTTGAAAACCCATATTGCGTCTCTAGCTACTGCTTTTGTCAATGCCTTGTTTTGGTCAAATACCTGTAGACATCAAATCTATATTTAGTAATAAGTTACAAAGAAAGCTTTTATGTCAATAATAAGGGAATACTAACATAAAACACTGTGTTCTTCTAGTCTTTGGAAACAGAATAAATTAATCTGAATAACCTTGGCAACGAGCAGACTTAAAAATGAGTCCTTGCCTGAACTCAGGCACAGTGATTCTGGTGGACCTATAAGGTTTCATTAGCTTCTTTCCAGAATGATTTATATTAAAAGACCACTAAATATTATTTTAAGATTTAACATGATTTCATTCGCTGGCTCCAGGTGCTTTACTGGCAATTTAAATAATATGAGTGAAGTTGAATGCATATTTTACCATCTCATCGCCCCACTCTCTGGCAATGTTTCTGGCCTTTCTAAATTCAAGGTCTGCTGTACGCTTGGCCCTAGATCTTTGGCAGATTTTTCACTGGTCTTAGTACTGTTATAAGTTGACCTACTTTTAACTTACCCCACCGCATGTTCTTCCCTTCCCAAACAAATTGTCACCAACTTACCTGTCCTTTAAGGATTTTTCGGTCGCTGTGGTGTTTGCTTGTGTCTGTACTACAGAGCTTAAGGGTGACCAACCAACCTACGCTCAACCTTCAGCCCACATGCAACAGCAGCAGCCCATTGCCTCGACTATGATGTTTGTGATAAACTTGAGGACTCTCTGTGCAGATCAGGGCAGCGTCCACATAAAAGCATCGAGCTAGCTGGTCAACAGTGACGAAACACTTATCGTCGTTGCTCCTTGTTGTTACTGGGTTTTGTTATCAGTTTGTGTCATCAAACAGCTTTCATGCTATGTCAGCTGGTGCTCTGGCTTGCCCCTGTCTTCAAAGAAAGTGGTTCCCTGCCTTACTGCTAATTTTACAAAGAGCTTTCTTTCCTTGCCTCCCTCCTTTTACTTACTTTTTTTCTTCTTATTATTTTCAATTATATCCTTCAGTCTGAGTTGTGCCCTCCAATTTTTTTATTTCTCAGCTTTTCAGAATCCATTACCAGTTTACCACCTTTGTCAATGTCCTGTGTAGAGCTACCAATAAAAGCAGCTAGTGAATATGTTTTCCTCCTGTTCTTCAGATGGTGATCTTCTGTAGAGAAAACTTCAGCTGTTTGATCCCATTGCCTTCAATGTCCTTTAGATGCACATTTTCGTACTAAGGAACAGCCTGAACCTAGTGAGGCTAAAATTGCACCACAGAAATCTGTAATGCTCTTCTAATCCTTTCTTTCCAGCTGTTTAGTTACAGTCATGTGTGTCTGATTTCAAATTACAGTGGGCTTATGCCAAATTTGCAAGGATTTGCAGCAGAGGGGAGATCCCCACAAGGCTACAAGAAATCAAGGTAGTTCATGGGTGGTTTTCTCATCCTTTTTGTTTCGCATTCCCCAGAAAACAAACAAACAAAAAAATATATATATACAGGGGTGTAACATGCTCCCACATAAATAACTCAATTGATAGGAGCCTCAGTTTTCTTAGTTATCAGCTGTAGATTCCTCCATAGGTTAAACTACTGGATTGAAGTGTTGAAACAGGGAAGATAGATAGGAAAATCCCTTGATCTCAGTGACAAAGTGACTCTTGAGTAGATGAACCGTATCACAAAAACTGGGAAAGCAAACCTTTGTTTGGTATGAAATAACACCACCAAATGACCTAAGTGTTTATTTGAAAGTGTTTCTCAGCAGGCTAATAATGCCACAAATACATACATTACAATGAAAACAGGAGTAGCTAGTGCAAAATTCCAAGGACTGAAAAACACGTCACAGCGGGCTGCTAAGTAAAGGCTTAATACAAAATGTTAATATGTTAATATTTTAATTGTAAAGCTAGTTACAAGTTGTTGCATAAGCGACATGAAGACAGTGCTTTGAATTTGCATATATTGCTGTTCTGCATTTTGGACACAATACCATTGTACACAATTTTACATTTTAAAGATGCGCAGTAATAGTGCCCATTTTCAAATTCATTTTTAGGCAGAATATTTGTGTGTTTTGTTTTTGTTACTGACTTTGCAGCATGTTTCTTTAGTCTGAGAAGATCCATTCAAAAGCTCTTAACAGCATGAATTTTACAGGCTATGTTCAAAATACGAAACATTTTTAAAAGTGCAATTAAAATCAGGGCTTTCATTTATTAAAAATTCATAAAGATTAAAAAACAGAAGGCTAGATTCTCAACAGAGTATAAATACTAGCTGTATTTATTTCAGTTGAGCTATAGTGATTTATCAAGTTGAGGATCTGGCCTTACCAGTATAACATCAAGATAAACCTTGCTGTTAGGAATTGAATTATTTGTTCAAAGACAGCAGCTCCCTTAAGAGGATATTAATAATACTGAAGTTTACCTATACTCATTTTTAATAACGTAAGTTCATAGAACAGAATGAAAAGCCATTCCGTAAAAGCAGACTGAATAATAAAATCTAAAGCTTCTAAATTGAGGTATATTTATATAATTTAATTCTGCCTGTAAGTCTGTATTTGAAGGAGTAGTATGAAATGCGATCAAAGTAAACTTACATTACTACCGCTTTGCTTTACTAGAGTTCAATATCACACTGTCTCCAAGCAGGTAAGAGCAGCCATATGGATTATATTTGTAACTGATTGCTTTAATTAAAAAAAAAAAAAAAAAAAAAAAAAAAGAAACTTGGAAGAATTAACATCCTGATATGGAAAGCTTTTTAGTGAGTTTCAAAATATCCCAAATTTTAAACATTTTTCAGTGATTTACTTCCATACCCATGACAGCTATTATTCCTACTCTTAAAAACTATGAAAATTCTTAAACCAAATGAGATTAAACTTTGTTGTGGTGAATCAGTCTTTTTTTTTAAATTAGCACCACCATGCTCTGTTCAGGTTGGCAAATACTAGAAAGGGAAATTTCATGTGAGGCTAAAAAAACCCTTGGTTGTGGTTATACAGTAAAACTTGGAAAAAATACTCTTTTATAACAGTTACTTTATGGGCATAACCTTCCTTTAATTCTGAATTTGGTGTGATGCTTTCGTAAGTGAGGTTTGTAAGTGATTTTGGATTCCCTAGTAGCTACTGTATATGTACCTAAATAAAACATTTTCAAGTGGGAAGCAAAATAGGCTGGAGAATTTGGGGGTTTATTACCTTTAAAATTTTACCTTCATATCGTATGGAGGCAGTTTGGAACGAGGGCAATGTATAAACAATCAAACTTGAGAACAAAACATAAAGAGGTTAGAGTATACTGCCTAACATACCTTTCATTATAAAGGGGTGCTTTGCCACGGGGGCTGCGTAAGTACTGTTAGATTCCTTGACATTTTGCTCACAGAAACCTCTGAACTTTCAACACTGGTTGAGAGTTGAGGCCAAACAGGATGCATTCATGTGCAGCAGCAGCTGCTTACTAAAGGATATTTTTGCAGGGTCAAAGCTTCCTTTCTCCCTTAAGCAAGCATGCCCATTTGTTAGCTTTACTTTGCAGTAAAGGATTCTAGTAGGAGAATATGCAAAATAATTGTTGGAGTTCAAAACTTGACACCTTCCCATGAAAAACAAAAAGAATATACACAATATGTCTGAAGGCAAAAGAGCTCTACAAAAATAAGTCTTGACCGATTCACCAGTAAGGCTAACACCAATGAATCTTTAACCTTTTCCTTATGGGTAAGAGAGTACTTTGGAATTTCACGTCTTTGGAGAAGAACTATTATTTTGTACAATAAATAATTATGGAAATGTGCAAAGTAAGGAATAATTATCTACAGCATTGATAAAACAAATACCACATTGGCTTAACTAAATACAACGGCAGATATTACCTTTCTTTAGCAGTATGTCTTAAAACTAATAATGGCTTGTTCTGCTTAGATCTTTACTTACACAATTGCACAGTTCCCTTTCTTTGGATTATTTCTTTAGGCCACAGACCGCTCCTATTCTTCATCTGATGAAAAGATGTCATTCCAGGGTGTGAAACACTTGACTTCATCTGGATCCTTGCTGTTGTGAAGGTGTTTCAGACTGCCAGAAATACAGCCTCATCTGAATCCTTCCCACTGTCTTCACTAGGCAAGCAGCCACCCCCGCTTGGGGACCTGCAGCTTAGGTCCTCCACACCAGACTCCTGGTCACTGTTAGCTGAGAGGTCAGGATCAGAGCTTTTCAGGTTGTCCTGTGTCAAAATCAGGGCTGAATCTTCCTCATCCCCTTGAGAAGGGCTCCGGGATGGGAATGATTTCAGATCGTTGCTGTACTCCTGGGGAGTGTTAGCTAAGCTGTTGTTGGAAGTCGAAAGCCCTAACTGTTTGCTTCGGTCTTGTTGCTTACTCTTGACTTTATTGTCATTTAATTGTGATTTCTGAAGATTCGCCAGTCTCTGAAATAAAGGAAAGCGTATATATTACATGGACATATTTAGGGCCCAGCGATCCTCTGATGTGTCTGCTTTTTTTTCAAAAAAAAAAAAAACAAAGTTCAGAGCCCAGCCCAACTGTCACCCTTCAAAACTGCCTATTTGCATTGACAGAGTAGGAGAAGTGCACAATTTGTCACAAACCAATGCAGAATTACAGTGTCTTTCTGAGTTACAAGTCCTTCTGAGTTAACGGAAAGATACAAAATTTCTTTCAGGAGGAGTAGTACTCATGCTCCAACACAGGTGAAATTTTATCCCTAAAGAAGTGCACTGTTGTGTCTTAAATGCAAAACATTTGTAGTAATTTACGTGAGAATAAAGCAGGCAGTTGAACATCCTCATGCCGGAGAAGTATGTAGCATGTAGGGGACCATGCAGTGTGTGGAGTTGGGTTTCATTTACCATCAGTTAAGTCTGGGGCATCGAGATCAAGTGTTTATTACCTCTCCTAAGAGCTCCAGCTCTTCTTCCAGCTGCTGCGTTTCTTCCTTCACTGCCATCAGATAGTCAGTAACCGACTGTCGAGGATGCAGCCCCTTTTCAAAGCGGTTGTACATACCGCTCCAGAACCTGGAATTGACGGGAGGGTCAGCGATTTTCTTATTTGGTGAGGTGGCCTCAGAAGACTTAAGTACATGCTTTTTTTTTTTTTTTTTTTTTTTTTTTTCAGAGGCATGTTGTCCTAAATGATCCATCCATGGCTTATTCATCATTAGAGTGTATACGCGTAAGTTCACTGAGTATTTGGTAAGATTTATGATTCATTTGCATTGGGTCTGTGCTGAAGATGCAACTGTGGACATACACAGCTTGACCCACTCTGATACACAGTAGAAGGAAAGGTGAATGTACCTTTGAGTTGGATCACATGGCTGAGGGTGAGTCACTGAACACAAACTTTTGCTGTATTATTTTCTTGTTCTACACTATAGGCTTTAGAACAACGGTACCTATGAAACAGCCAAGGGTAAAGACAGTTTTTTTGTAATCCTAGTTCTCAACCATTGTTTAACTTCCCATGAAGTCAACTTTGAAGTTCAGTATGCTTGGTTTTGGCTGGGGCTGGGGCGGCGGGGGTGCTGTGTGTGTGAGGTGCAGCTAGGTAAGCAGGTTTTTTCCCCCATAAAGAAGAGTTAAAAATCAGGAGTAAAAACCAGCATGGCATCCTGATCTCACAGAACTTAAAGTGACATTTTAAACTGAGCTATGGAAATTGCATGAAGCACATAGGTTGGCAAGCTCTCTTCCTGTTCTATGGAATTATCTGACAAACCTTTAGCTAAACAGCTGAGCTGATTTTTCATTTTCAGGAGGAAAGGACTCAAACTGTAAGTCGGTAGCTTACTCTAGCACTCCTCCTGTCTTCTGCCTTCCCGACAATACATGGCCACAGCCAGACGACTCCGAGTATGTAACCAGTCCACCAGACAGGTTAAGTAGCCCCGAGACCTGCCCTCAGCTGCAGATGCCCAGCCAAGTAGCTGAGAGATATTTTCAGAGCATGTGCATGCTCCTTGGTGGTTTATTATTCCTACCCCAATAGCATACTATTTAAGTCACATTCCCCCCTTATCATCTGATAGCTCATGCTTGGAAATCTTTATGCACCCAAGTAATCCCATTAAAATCAACAGGATTACTCATCTGATGGCAGATCTGCACTATCAGTACTTCTTTTATAAATCCCACTCTCCTAAAGAATACGATTAATGACTATTTTAAAATTGTTTTAAAGTGGATGTGACCTGGAATAGTAGATGCGAAAGAATTCAATTTCTGTCATTTAGGATATTTACTGACCTTTTAACAGGCACTTGTACTTGCAACTGGAAAACAAACTGATCAGTTTTACTTAAATCACAGTTTTAATGAATTTCTGTTCAAGTTCTCCTTAAGTTTGTTAAGATTAATGGCACAATTAATTACTCAAGTCAGAATGTCAATAGTAACATTTCTAAAATTAAAAAAAAAAAATTCAAGTAAAATTTACTGTGTATACTTCAAGGTATAACAACAACATAGGGAAGGCCTGCTTTTTGTTTTACTGAACACTTATTTTAGCAATGAAGCCATATGATTTCTTGAAATGTCCTTTTTATTTTCGCCACCAATTGATTCAAATAAACATCACAAAATCTTGGAATGGAAGAAGTTGAAGCAACTTTGGAAACCACAGACGAGAACAGAACTGGAATAGACATTTCTCAGTGGAAGAAGTGAGTAACCATGAAATTAGGACACACAACTGTCAATGTAGCTTTAATCTTAAGCTGCTTTTCAGACTAATACTCCCTTGTGGAATCGTGCAGAGGTGTTGGCTGGCTATGAGCACACAAGGAGCAAACACATTGCAATCTGAGACTGAATTTACTCTCTGTAAGATACCTTATGGAACCAGAAATACTTAAATACAAAGGCACTCTATTCTGTACTAACACATCCTACAATGCTCGGTAGCAAGCAATACCACCTACTTGTACAAGAAGTTGCATGGAGCCATCTGTGGGTGTAGGGTCCCTTGGGTTTGACCACGGTCTGATCTGTACAAGGGATTCAGGTAATCGGCACGATTTTTCCATAAGTGAGCCCACAAAGAATATGTTCGTTCTTGGATTCTGGAAAAAAAAAAGGTGAAATTAAAAATACAAAGTCTCTACTACAGTTCAGGTATAGCCAAAGCTTAGATGCAACATTCTAGTGCTCTGTACTACTCATTTGCAATCAGCTTTATACTTCCTTAATAGAATTAGACTTAAGTTATAACCATAGAAAAACAGAGCCCCATATTCCTGATCTAGTTAGCAGTGTCCCTGCTCACTGCAGGGGGGTTGGACTAGATGACCTCTAGGGGTCCCTTACAACCCAAAACATTCTATGATTCTATGATTCCTTTGTTGGACGCTAAAAGGCAAAATCCAATCCATTTCCCATAAAGCCAGAGCAGCTGGGGAGAGAGGGTAGAAAGATGGGTTCCTTTGCAGGATGGGAGAGCATCACTGCCATAAAATTAGATTTCAGAGCCATCTCTACAGCAAAGGAGTCCCCATATTTAAAAGCACTCCTACACCACTGATCTGCAATTTCTCACGCAGTTAGATCCTGGGATAGGATAACCCGTGAAGGTTTTGATTTTAAATGGGCTGCAGCACTGAGGCTGCTCTGCATGTGAGCGGTGAAAGGGACCAAATGGCAGCAGCGAGCAGGAACTCCCACCTTCCTCTCTTTCCCAGTGCTGACACGATCAGGATGCATGAGAAAAGCACTGGGTTATCAGGATGTACCCGAGCAGCCAGGGCCCCAGGAAACAGATATGACCATCAGCACTGCCAGGAATGATATTATTGTCTGTGTTTGGGCCTGAGGGCAGGCCCAAACAAATTAATTCATAATTGCTTTGGGGCCAGACAGCAGCAGGATAGTTTGCTGACTCAGGCCTAGGGAGGGCTACCAGACAAAAAAAGCTGTTCATAAGAAAGTATCCGGGAGATCAGGATGAAAGTGTCCTGACATGAGATCCAAAGGCAAGTTAAAACAGAGAAGAGCAGTGACTATTAAACTGAGAACTTTAACTAGAGTTAATATAGTCTTGCATTAGAGCCCCAGTGACAGCTTGCCTGGCGTGTTGCTAATGCTGCGGTAAAGGCAGGGCCGCGTGGCTGCAGGGCTAATGCTCTTGTCGGTTTTCACTAATCCCAGTCACGCACACTGCGGATTACACTCCCAGCAGAGCCACATTGCAGGGGATCAACTTTTTTCGGTATTAATCTGGGTTGCCAGAATATGACGGCCCAGAAGTCTGCATTGCACCCCGCGCCTTATGAAAGCATGTACAGGTAGACTGGCAAATGTCCGACTCCACCACCACCCACAGACACCCCCCTCCCCATGTAAATATGCTACAAAAGAAAAGATTTCTGTACTTCAGCTCTCGTCTCTCCTTCTGGCTGTTACACAGGAAATTCCCAAACTGGCACGAATAGATGTGATGCTGTACATGGATAAGGAATCTCTCATTGAATTCAAAGGCACAAGGAAACTGTTCCATTAATTGCCAAACACACTCGATGAACTGGTCAATAACAGGGGATATCTCCTTCGGATCTCCATCTAAATTGCCATACCTGAAACAAGACAAGATACATTCGATTATAACCTGAAATCCTCTAGGAAAACTGAGCTGACACTAATGAAAACAACCCCCTCACTTTCAGCATGCAAGTCACATCCTAAGCATTCATTTCTAAAATCTTAACTAGTAGTATATGTTTTTACTTACTTACAAAAACGATGCAATATTCATTAAGTAGAATGAAGGCAGACCTTATCATATGCAAACAAAACCCCCCAACTTTTACAGGTGTCTTGTTGCCTTACAGCTGCTAACCACTGGCTGCTGCATAGCCATGTTTTAATGCTATTAATATAAAGTTATACCACAGTAACGTAGGTCATGATAACAATGACTGCAATGACAAAACCATATCTTAGACAGTCGCTTAAATGGCAGACCATTCCCAAAACCAGAAAACTGAGCAGGAGAGGAACAGAATAACCTTGGCAAAAAGCAGTTTAAAGCTGCCCTCTCTTGGTGAAATTTTTAGAAAGTGGGAAATGCCTACATGCTACCGTAACTGCTAAGTGAACATAAAACTTTCTGTCTGTAAAAATGTCTCTTGGAACTACTTGCAATGAAGAAAAAGGAGCCTGAAATATAAAACACATAGAAGTAAAAAATATTTTGTAGGTCTACATATTAGGAAAAAGCATTTTCAACCAATTATTCTGCTTGTCTAGTGTGTGAGATATATATATGTATGTGCACATATATGTATATATGCCAACAGAGTAGAATTCCATAAACATCTAAAATTGAAACCTCTAAATCTACTACTGTTATGCATCAAAAACATATAGCAATATTGTACTGCAAATCAAAGCTACATTTCATAATATCTTTCACCGATGATAATCATAGACACCTGCCAGTATTGTACTAAATACAGTAATTCCTGCTTTTTTCTGGAGTTTCACAGGTGGTGTGGAGCTGCACAGATTTCCTAAAAGTTTTGTTGTGTTTTTTGAAACTAGAACAAATTTCTATGCCAATCAAGCAATATAATGTAATTCAACTCCAATATAAAAATTGCATTTTTTATTTTTATGGGAAATAAAAGGAAATACAAGAAAGAAAATGTGGATGTTTATCCATGTTTAAATATAGAGTCTTCAAATATTTTCATTACATTATAGCATTTACATAATGGTTGTACAAAATAACTGGTCCAAACTGATGACTTTCCACTTCCCTTTACCTGAACAAATCTCTGATCTGAACAAGTCTCTGAACAAATCCTACTGTTTTTGTTAGAACAGAACGTAACAGGAAGAGGATGTTTTACTTAGTAGGTAACTTACAGATATGCCTAAGATTAAGTACTGTCCTGGAAGACGTAGACTTTGCTGAACAGGAACTTAGATGACAAATCTTGGCACTACTGAAAGAGCCACCGGAGTCCAAAGGGATTTGGCCAGCCACATAGATACTACTTTTCTCTCACATGAAGCTCTCAATGCTCATCGCAACTGCAAGACCAGCGCTCAGGATTCCCAATATTGGTCTTGGAGTGCATATATAAGAAAAGACTGATATGAATGTGTTTCCCTTTGATTTTTCCAGGCAGCTAAATTATATAGTAGGAGCAAAGGATTTGGTGGTTTCCTGAGGGCCTTCTGTTGATACGCTTTGAAAGGCAACAAGGAAAAAAAATTGGAATGGCAGTGGATACTGACTATATAAAAATATGTATAGGAAAACCTTAGCACCGCCTTACCTGTGGTTAAATTTATGACCAAAGGAAACCCAGTCTTTTTCAATTAACACCTAAAATGAGAATATTGCATTCAGTGTTGTGGAGCAGAGCTGACACATGTTGAAGCAGGCAGAAGAGTGGTATAAACAAGCAGTATTGGAATCCCAGTTAATTCTTAGAATAAGCAGAAAAGTGACAAGCAAGAATGATGTAAGCAAGCAATATTAGAATCCCAGATAATTTTTAGAATAAGCAGAAAAATAATGAACGATGAGCACCACTACGAACTCAAGACAAAGTAGCAGTCTTCATGGATGCAGATAGGATGCCAATATTTCAACACAACTTCAATTAGCTTGATTCATCATTTTCTAAAATAGAACCTAAAAATGTTTCAAACCCCTTTTAACATGTAGCCAGTAACTTGATACGCATTCCTAGATGATTTACCAGTGCTGATTTGCTTGGAAAAGGAACAGATTTTCCAACATAGCTGCTCATTGCAGTCTAATGTCTAGGGCACACACACTTCTGACACTCAAAACTTCACTGATCCCTGAAAATGAATTCAAACTCTTGCTTGCACCAAAGCTCCTTGGGCTGCAAGAAAGATTCTCATTCAAGGTTAGGAAAGAAAATAAATGGGTATCCAACTGATCTCCACCTTTGATAACATTTCATACAGAAACTGGGAGACCTTCCTTCCTCCTTAAAAAACAAAAGGCATATTTCAGGAGAGTTTATTTTCTGTTAAAACCAAAGATAGTCATCTCAAATGATGCCATAAAATTTTTGTTTACTCTGCAAAAGAGAACCTGCTTACCATGAATCCCTTCATAGTTCTGTAATATGGATCCAATAGAAGGCTCGCTACAGAGCAAACCTGGGCTGTCCTATCCCAGCCATCAGAGCAGTGAACAAGCACACTCACACCTTCCTCAGCCACAGCCTAAGGATACAGAAAAAGTCAGAGACATTTCACAAGCAGGGGGAAAGGCAACGGTAAGAGAAGAACAGTGAGACAGCGCAATATAAGAGAGTATTAATTTGGGAACAGGGAAACCTTGTTCATTTTTTTTATTCTGCCACAGAGTTCTTGAATTACGTTGAGTGTTATTCCTCTCATTTGAAAAGTCTTCATCTCATCCCGTCCTATGCAATATGGTGGCTGCAGCATCACCTGTTTATGCTCCACTACAGGAGGGTGTGGGGTTCATTTCAATTAAAATACATCAATATGTCAGAGAAGACAACTACCTAAAGCAAATTCAGATGCTGCTGATGCTCTAAGTCACATACCAGCAACAGAGCAGCCATATTTGCAATATGGCTCTTCATTTTCCTTCTTGATGGTAATGTCAATAACAGTAATGCCTGCTCCTGATGCCAGCGCTAGCATGGACATTACTACAGTGTACTGCATTGCACACTGATGACATGCTTCTGAAGGTCTGTGGGGAAGCCTGTGGTAGTGGTAAACTTCCATATCTAATAAGCAAGATTGTATCAGTACCTTTAGTGTAAATAACTGGGGAGAGAGGATCCCATTTTATACATAAACACATAAAGCAGAGATCATACTAAGTTCTCCAAAGTCTGGTGTTGCATTATTTTTGGAACTTGAGGGTTTTTTTAAAAAAAATTCTAAGGGGTTTGGCCTTTGTCATTTCTAAAGAACTAAATTCAGAAAGTAGAGAAAGATACGACTTAGAAAAACAAACATTTAAGTTAAGTTTGGGCTTAACAGGGAACAAGGAATAATAATAAATTATCTATGTTTATCTCAAGAGACAAGTAAGTTCTACCAAAATAGAACCCCTGTGGGCAGGAGACCAACAACTGGGAACTGGGAACCATAAAAATGAGAACAGGTCAAAAATGCATGTTTGAGGAGGCATGAGGCTAGCAAGGATAGGATAAATCTTTTTGGACAGTATTTTAAGACTAGCCACTGGGGAAAAGTTGGCAAGAGCTAATGTAAATGACCTGATTTCTCTAAGCTAATGAAAGCTAGTAAGGCTGGGAGAAATAACATGTGCATTTATCCCACAGCTGCCGTTCAGGTAAGAAACTACAGTTGCCTGCTGAGCAGGAAGAAGTAAAACAATAGAAATAAGCAGCTACTGAGGAGGGAAACCCATGAAGTTTTATCCATATCGTACGTAGCAGGTCATGCAAATAAAATGGCCTATAAGAAATCGCAATAGTAATCTCAAAACTAAGAATTGAGAGAGTAAAAGGCAGAGCACAAGGTAATAAAATTAAAACTACTGTTGGCAGATGACAAATATCTGCATTATTTTGGATGGGATTAGGGGAAATAATAGTTTTTTATCAATAGCAACAACTGTTTTCTGAAACAGCTCTCAAGTGTGTAAGTGCAGAAGCTGCTCAAGAGTTTGGCCACATAATACAGAGGAATTGGTTTAGGAGGTGAATTTAGTTGGACGCTAAATAACTCAGAGGAGATAACGCAGTAGCTAATGTTCCTTTAGTACAACTACCATGTGAAGAAGCAGTCCTAAATCAGAAACCTTCACGTTCAAATACCTGGCCTAACAAGATACAGGTTAGTAGAGGCTTTAGTACATTTGACTACTTTGGCAAAAAGAACGCAGAATATCCACACAACAGCACCTAAGAATCATCTCTCCTCATATGTGAAGTATTGCAAGACTTTTTTTTCAGATACAACATCACTGAAGATAACAGAAGTTACCCACAAGCAGAGAATTTGGTCCTCACTTTCTGTATCTGGTTAGTCCAAGCTTTGTTCTCATTTTACACACTTTACCTTTGCAATAAAAATGCCAGCATCCATAATGGCTTTGATATGCTTCAGCCAGCCAGAATTTTCTAGGCCCCAGAGAAAGTCACTCATTGAAGGCGATTTCAGCTCACAAACTGCAAAATAAGCTACATCTTAAATTCACAGCAGTTATAGTCCCTTAAGCTTTCACTGACTGTCCAACCTAAGAGTTATCTTTTCACATATCCCCTGTGTAAAATACCCATCTTCCGTAAAGAATAGCTACTTCACAGTCAAACTTTAATGTTGAAAAAAAGCATATGTTTGAGAAATGGAGCCAGGCCGAATTTCACCCAATATGTTGATTTAAGTTAAAAAGAGAAGCTGTTTCAAAGCCTGTTGCAAACAGTTTACCAAAATACATCCTTCTGTGACGCACAGGTTTTCCAAAATTGTGCTGGGAGTGAAGTTTTCAAACCCCCGAGAGGGGTTGGAAACAGAAAGCATATGATTTCTGCTGTCAGCCAGCCAGCCAGCCACCTGAATTGTGCCACGGCCTCCTATTCCCAGCCACATTTGGTGCTGAAGCTCTGGAAGAGCAGGCCCACCAAACCCAGCCTTCAGCATCACCACAGGTGGTGGTGTCTGAGATAAAGCGATTCGCTCAACAGTTCTCCATCCCTGAATGAAACCTGATTAAAACTTCGCTTGTAGCCAGAAAATATTCTGATGGTGAGGAAAAGCCAGAATTTGTCAAGGAAAAATATTTTCCTGAAACCTTTCTGAGCTCTATGCTGTGTATAAAGAAAAAAACCCAAACCTCACAGTTTTTACAACATTAAGTTTCTATCCTGCTCTATCCAAGTGTCTATTTTTTAATATTACAGAGTTTGTGACATCAGAAGGAAAAAAGGGCAATCAGAATCGAATTCAGATACTTCAATCCAACAGCAAACAGATACTCAATATTTGGTGCAACCTGTTTTCAAGAGCAAGATACTAAATTCACCACATGAATAGATTACACATTTATTTTGAGCCATGTAGAATTTTACTGTCTTTTAAGGAAAAAGATACCAACTAGTGAAACATATTTAAGGAATACGGTGAAAAAATGTCATGGTTTTTACTGAGTTAATGTATGATCTGTGAACTAATAATGTCTTGGTAAGCCCCTCGTCCTCTGGAAATCTCCTAAAAGACTGAGTTAATTATGGCCATTATGACCAGTGGCAAAACTACAGTTTCCCTCAATGTAATTGGAATCTAGTTTTACAGACCGAAGCCAGAGTTTATACCACATCTGAACATATCCAGCCATCTTAACCCTATTTAATTCGGAGGCAAAATAGCCTAATGTGTCCATACAGAGTCTTGCAGTCTTTGTACATAGGCCCTCTTCCAGATGGTTCTTTTAAAAGTCATTTTTGAAGGTTATTTATAAAAAATGCATAGATAGCAGCACTGAAAGCAAACACCTTTTCACATGATTAATGCTCCTGTGCAGATGGAAGCGTGACCAATTAGTAGCTGAATTCTGGATGAAGCTGCTGTCTCTGTTTACAAAAGCCCAAGGTAAGGCTGAAATAGTGCTTTGCTCATTCCCACCACCAAATTAGAGTCAATATTTACTGACCACTTCACTGAGCAAAGTTCAAACTGTCCTAAAGGCATACACCGTATATTTCACAGGATTTTGGCTACTGATCTGGACCTTAATACCGAGTTCAATTATGAATTCAATTATGAGACTTATCCTAAGGGGAAAAGGCGTTTCCATCTCAGCAGAAAAGATACCAAAATCTTGGAGAAATAAGACCTGTTGCACCTGCTATGTGGGCATGGGAAAATCAAGAGCTCCTGGGCAGAGCTCATAGCAATCCAGCGGTGCTCCCTTCCCCAGGAGGGAAGGATGAGAACAGGACACATGGTGGAAACTGCCTCTTCCACCAGCAAAAGTACCAGAGCGGAATGCTGGACCAGTTCCTCCATTTCTGACAGCACAGCCATAGGTAGAGGAAGGAGTACGTGCTGGGGGCCAAAGCCTCGGGCGCTCTTTCTGGCTGGTCTGTCACTGAAGTCCAAGGATCAGAGGGCTGCTCTTAACATCAGCAACTACTGCTCCTGGTATGAGGGGAGGAGAAGCTCATATCTGCTGTTTAAATACAGAGAGGGAGCACGTGGGGTCATCACCTCAATGCACAACAAATGGGGGGTCAAGTCTTGGCTGGCCCCTGGGAGGTACAGCAAAGCTCACCCCACCACAAATGCCAAACAGCAGCCTCAGTCAGCCCTTGAATCTTTATGGAGAAAAGCCCTTGTGCAACGTTTCATTCCACTATTAAAAAATACTTCAAGGACATTGTGCACAGCATCAAAATTATCACAAGGATCTTCACATACACTTCTCTTTTAATGAAAAAAAATCCCCAATGCTATACTAAAGCAATATGAGGCAGCAGAGACAAAAGTAAAACTTTTTTTTTTCCTGGAAGGAAATCCCAGCATGTTGAAATGCATTTTACTTCCAGAGTACAGGCAAATCTCATAATTTTTTGCATATTCTGAAAAAATGTTCATTTTCCTAAACATGTAATCATTTTATAATGCTGATATATTTTGCCAAAAATTAACATTATACAAGAGTAAATACATGTTAAAGTTAAGATAAATAAAATTGCTAGAATTAAAGTCAGTAAAAGCTGAAACCAAATTTTTTTACCTACTCAAATAAATTATTGACCTTATTGTAAGTATAAATTAATTTCTTCAACTTTTTCCTAAAGAAACATCACTGAAATGAACACATTCTTAATATAAGTACATTTTCCAATGGAAAACTGAATAATCAGGTTTTTTTTTCAAACTTCCTCAGCATTGGAAGTTATTTAAAATTGTACACTGAAAATAATCTGCAGTCTCTCCTGTGAAAAAGATCCTCCAACCTTCACTGCTGCTTATCTCCAGTAAGTTGAAGAAAATTGCCCTTG